CGCCGCCGCAGCCGCCGCCGCCGTGACGCCCACGTGCGGGTAGTAGTGCAGCGGCACGTGCGAGTGGAAGGGGTAGGGCAGGCTGCCCGTGGCCGCCGCGTGGGTCATCATGTAGGTGTAGAAGCTGGGGTCGGCCGGGTGCGGCCACGACATGGCCAGGCGCTGCCGCTTGTCCTTCATGCGCCGGTTCTGGAACCACACCTGGCGGGACACGAGCACACGGGCTCAGCTCCGGCCCGCCCGCACGCACCCCCCGGCTCCCCGCCCGGCTCCCGGCCCGGCCCGGCTTGGGGGCTTTCCGCTTCAGTCCCCGCGGGTCTTTGCCTCCCCGCTCCCGAGAGATGCCGCCGGCCAAGCCGCGGCCGGGGCGCGGATGATGAGCCACGCTGCCGGGATGCGGCTGGCGCGGGGTTTCGCTCCGTCGTCGTCCCCCCCCACACACTCCCTCCCCGCACAGAGGTGGGTGTCCGCTCCCAGGCAGCAGGACTGAGCTCGGACACCGGGCCGCTTTGCAGCTCCCACGCAGCACAACAGCACCTGCCCTGCGTGCCCATCTCGCGGACATACCTTGATGGTGGTCTCGGGGAGGTTGAGCGCGGCCGCCAGCTCGCAGCGCCGGGGCCGAGACACATAGTTCTCCCGGTAGAACTCCTTCTCCAGCCGCGCGATCTGCTCCCGCGTGAAGGCGGTGCGGTACCTCCTCACCTGGTCGGCCCCCGAGCCCGAGCTGCCCAGGGCGTTGCTGCTGTGCAGGTTGGTTATGCTGGAGCCGGAGGAGGAGGAGGAGGAGGAGGAGGTGGTGGTGGTACTAGGAGCCGAGCTGCTCTCTGAATAGCCTGGGCAAGAAACAAACAAGCAAGTAAACAAAGTGAAATAAAGGTTTCTTCCTGGCGAGGCGTTTGCGCGCATTAACTGAAGCAGGAGGTGAGCTTCACAGCCCGGTTCTGAACACTGATAATTAATGCTAGCTGTCACCGTTACAAATTGCTGCTGTTAATAGAATCAATAAAGTTTTTGAATCGCTTCATAACCAAATTATTCTAAGTAAATTAGGGTGTTTTTTTAAGTAATTATAGAATTCTGGTCTCTGAAGCAAATTAGCCAAGCGAGGGCACAGATGCAGGGCACGGTTTCAGAGCTGTGGTACGGCTCTCACGCCGCGATGATCTGATTATAATTAGAAACTGGGAATCAGCTTCTGCAGCCCCGTGAGCTTGCTTATTTTCGTTTGAGATACGCACAATAAAGACGACCTTGCACAAAGATCTGCCCGGCAATGCTTTGTGGGCGACTTTTCTTCCTTGACACGTTTGACAAAAAATGCACATACCATGGCACCTAAGAAAGCACTGATCTTTCCATTACCACACTTCCCAATCAGAATAATTCGCCAACATTTCTTTTAAAGTTGTCACGATACGAGGGCGTTTAATATTCTGTATTACAACAGAAGAAGAGTGAACAATGCCCAATTATTATTGGTGTGAATACACAACGACACATTTTACATGCACAGAGAAAGACAACCACGCACGCAAACACACCGATGCATAGTTCCTACGGATCTCAAAACCTAATTTATTCCACATACGTATATGTGTACAGAGGGAGAAATAGAGATCGGCGTTAGAGAACGAGAGGAGCAAGAGGTTTCCCTGAATATACGTGGGTGGGAATATACAGATGTGTGTGTGTGTGTGTGTATACAGATACGTGTATACACACACAGACACTTTGGTCTATGAAGACTGTTTAGTGCATCTTGCCTATCGTGAGAAAGAAGGCAGCAATAACAACAGTTCCCCGCTTTAGCACGGGCCGTACCGAATTCAGAGAGCTATTTCCAGAGGCCCACAAGTTTTCCCCAAATAAAACTGTACGCTTTAGACAGCGAGGACAAACGAGCAGTTACCTTTGTTATTGTTTTCCTTCAGCTGGGAGGAACTCAGGCTGGTTGGGGAGCGGAGAGCTGAACAGCCCACCTCCACATCACTGTTCATATCTGCCTCTTGAGCAACTTCTGAATAATGGCTAATTTTCTTCCTGCTCTCAGACGAAGGGATTTCGGAGGAGACGCTGCTCTCTGTGTTCTGATGCTGAAGATTGAATAAAGTGTCTATTTCAAATTTGCCTTTGGCAGGGATGTCCCCTATAGTGCTATGCAGAGAGGCGGAAGTTAGTCTAGGGCTGAGGCGACCACTGTGTTGAGAATTTTCAAGGGCCTCCAGCACCGCATTTCCAGCTGAGTCTGACAAATTCGCGAGCCTTTTGCCAGCTGTAGGACTGTGCAGCCCTCTTTCCATCAGAATCATCTCTTTTCTTATTCTTTCCATCATCTCAGCTTTATAAAAAATGTCAAAGTTGCAGGGTTGGTCCTGTACTAATGATCAGCTGCAGCAGGGGCTAATTCACATTCAGCCCGGCAAGTGTCTCTAAATATTATTATCTCTTTTTGAGGGAGGCGTAAAAATTGTGGGATGCCAAAGCGAGGGAATGACTGGTCAAAATGACCTATACATCCTTTCTAGCCCGAAATGTCATTCATCAAAAAGTAGTGCTCGTCATTAAGGTAGGAATGACGCTGTTCGAATAATCATTTATTGTAACAGGTTTATAAGCAAATAAATACAAGCTCCTGTCAGTGGCTAATGAAGGCGGCTTCTGAGCAGACAAATATATCCAGGTAGAAAGAAAGAAAGACAAGAAGTGAAGAGTAACGCTCTTGTCCTTAGCTTGATCAGATCTTGCTTGAATTGCTCTGGGGTTTGGCCTCTGGGGTGAAATTGACAGTCTGATTAATAAAATGAGCTGTGCAACATTTCCCCCTTCATTTAGGTGCATCATTATGCTCTGATTTTTGTTTTGTTGCCTTTTAGGTCCTAATGATGCAGCTTCTTTCTCATTTGTCCTCGGACAGAGCTACATGTTAAATAATAGATAATGCTTCTTTTTATTATTTCGGAAGCGGATTTTAGATCGCAACGAGAGAAAATCGTGGCAGAGGGACCTGCGGACCGAGCACACCCCGCGCTCGATTTTATTTACTTTTCCTTCCCAGCCGAGAAGGCATTAGCACTTTTATTTAAGGATGATGCTCGCACACACCCCCATGCACACGAACCTCACACTGGGACTTTTCCAGACTGATGCTGCCGGTCCATACCGCTTTACGTGCATCTACGACAGCTGCCTGGAAATGGTGTTATTTATTGTAATCCCTCTTTTCTAGTCTCTTTTCCTCGTTGCATCCTTAAACCCGATCTCCTTTTTACTTGCTGTAATTCTACTTATCGAGGAAACCAGACTATGATTTCCACCCTCTGGGGGACATGTTCTCTGTTGTATATTTTAATGAAAAAAAATACAAATCTCCAACCCAGCGTTAAATGCACGTATGATTTAAAGCACCATATTGCAGCACTGTCATCTCATTCTCTAGACAGGTTTCTCTTTTGTATCCATCCCCCTCCCAGCCTCTCCGCCCGCGAAGATCGACACGCTTAAAAAAACATTAAAAAATAAAATAAAATAAAATGACTCGCGTTTATTCTGTCAAGGCTTGGGCTATTCGCGGAGATACGCTATCATTACCATTAGCAGCCTTGCCCCAAAGTTACCTGTGGCTCAATTAGCTCATCTGTCCGTTGTTTTCCGGGGTGATCTGGAGTAAATTGTCTCTCTCGTGCTGGAAGGGACACGGGCTACCGAGTTTAGGAGACGTGACTATTGGAAAGTCTCCCCTCAGTGATAACTTTGCAAGTAATAATGACGCTGATGGCAACCATTTAAACGAAGATAAATCCTTTGTCGTTAGCATCCCTGGAGTACTCTTCAATAGCTGCCCAACCTTGCGTCTCCGCGAGGGTTTTTTTCACCCACATAATATAGTTTTAGACCCGGAGTGTCTGAGTTTGATCGGCGACAGCAATACTCCAATGCTCCCTGGGATTAAATCGGTTTTTTTTTTCAAAGACAGCCTGTTCCTTCTCATGGGGAAGTCACACACAAGTTCTTATGCTTTCGCGCATGATTCATACCTCGAAAATGGGATAGTCGTCAGATTTTTTTTAAATAACGTGTTAAAGTCCCTAAACAGTCCGCGAAATATTTAGGAAACATTCTAGGCGCGCGGTTTATAAAATCCACCGCTCGACTCATGCGGGTTTTTTCCGCCCTTTGAAATGTGAATTTAGCTGCTGTGTGGTGGTGTCCTGTGTGCTGCAGCCCAAACCAGAGGAAAGTAAATAGCAACTTCCCCCTAGCCCAGCAGCCTCTCTCAGCGGGTGTAACACGGACCCGGCGCCCACAGGTTCTGCCAGGAGCAACTGGGAGGGCAAAGCCTGCCTACGGCCAGCACAGCACACAGGCACTTTCTGAAATGAGCTTTTCCCCATAAAGAATTGTTAGAGACAGTAACAGATCTGCCTTTCTTACCCCAAAGAGAGGCGATGAGAAAGCGGTATCTTCTCCTGTGCTGGGAGACAGCACCGCCACCTACTTCGATTTTGTTTTTTTTTTTATTGAAAACAAATCTCTTCCCTGGTCTCCCTGGTCTGGGCTGTTAATACGGCGCTAGGGAGACAGCAGCTCCCTGCATGGGAGATGCAGCACTTGGAGGAGCAGAGCAGCTCGCTCCGGGCTTGGGCTCTGTCTGGAGGTGACTGTAAACACAGCGGAACCTGAATTCATGGCCCTCGGCTGATCCGTGTTACAGGGCTGACCCGGGCTGTCCCAACCGTCCCGGAAAGAAGGGACGGGTCCTCCTTAGACACACGCGATGTTTTGCACGCTGGAAGAGTTACTCATGGGTACGACCCCCCCCGCCCCCCTCCCCCTTAACGTAGAGCTGAGCGCCGGCTTCGCCCAGCCGGAGCTCCGAGTCCCCCGCAGGAGAAGCGGAAATCTGTGGTCGCCTTTATTGCTGTCGTTTGGCGCCCCCATCTGTTTTCCTAAATACTTTAACTGGGTTAGTATCTCCACCCCACTTCTTTCTTGGGAACCGCAGCTCGAGCCCAACTCTCCAGCCCGCTCCCAGCCGAATCGCAAGCAGGCTGGTCTTCCAGCAGTGCTTCTGCACCACCTGAAAAGCAAATTAAAATAATAAAAAAGTAAGAATAAAAAGTTTTCTCTGACAGATGAAATGGGCTGCGAGGCAACTCCCCAGCGCAGGGGGAAAATGCCAGACACAAGCTGCACTCTGAATGACCTTTATTAGAGTTATTTTATATTTTGCACCTTTCAACTAGTGCTGATATTTCCTTTTATGTAGAACATATTTGAGAATGTTGCTACATTCATGTGCAGAGGAAATGACATGCCATAAAAGACGGTAATAATCTTCTACTAAGTAGATATTAAGTAACAAAAAAAGTTGTACACAAAGCAGTTAATCATTCCGCTCAGAAATATGCACCCACCTACAAACGAGTTATTTGATATTTATATTCCTCGAAAACTAGGTTCATTAACTGTATAAGTGTTTTTAGTTCTTTTTATTTTCCTTTAAGAAAAACAACAGTGTAGTCTAAAAACTTTCAGCCTACATTTCAAGGTTTGTACTAGTGAGCAAATGTAAAGGAAGTTACAGAGACCGGGGAAACTATGTGAGTTTTTGCTAGGCTGAGCTGTTTGCTCAGTTGCTGGGAGTTTAAATAGCTGCTTAGGCCTATAGCCAAAAAGCCCGTATTTTATCTTGTAAGTTATTACTTATGGCATCAAAAATATTTCAACCAGGCTTATTAATCCTGAACTGGAAAAAAAACTACCCGACTTAATTGACGTGATACTTATTAAATCGACCAGCATTTCCAGCAGCCTTTCATTACTCCAACCAAGTGTTCTTGGGAATCCTGAGTAAACATTTGTTTCCTCCTCAGCTGCGGGGCTCAGCGACGAGCTGCAAAGTGTTATTGCTACTGCAGGTAACAACAGCGCCTCGATGCGCTCCCTCGGTGGGAACTCGCACAACTTCTCCCGCTGTTTCAGTTTCATTTGCCTCCAGCAGGCTAACTCCTCTTCTGCATTGCGTTTGACTTCGTTAGGTGTCTTATCCGGCTCAAGCAGTGAGAGATTCATTAGTTTTATCTAACTATTCTTTAAAAAATCGTAAGGGAAATTAGAACAGCACCAGGACTGGGTGAAACGCCCCATGGGAGCTAATGTTGTCACTAGGAAATACGAACTTTCCTTTCTACCCAGGAGAACTTTTAAAATCTTTTCTCCTATGCCTCAAGAAGGGTGTTTGTGCCCGAAAGCTTGCAACTGAAGATTTTTTTTTTCAAAAATCTAGTTGGAGTCCTGTTTCAGTGTTATTACTATACACTTTCACTTTGCCCTTGATTTGACTACTTACCAGTTGCAATTCCAGCCTTTATTTTCTTTAGTTACTTCCTGCTCTACATGGGATCATAGAAAGGCTGATCCTTACAACAGAGTTTTTTTTTTAAAAAAGCGTTGTTGATGATCACTCTGAAGCAGCTGTACCTGAAAGTTGGGACTGGCGTGATAATTCGCTTTCTGTGTCACTCTCTTTCCTCTGTAGCTAGCAAGAGAGAGAGACTTTTCAACTGCGTGGTTTCCACCATGAAACCTGGAAAGTCTATTTCTATTATACAAGGCAACAATACAGTTCATCCCGACTTTAATCTGCCTGCCGAGCCCAGACTGGAAAACTTGTGGGGCCATCTAGTGACAGACCCGCGGTACCGCACCGTGTGCTGAAACCAGGGCAGGGCTGAGAGGCTCGGCGTGAGAGAATGGCTCTCCCGGCTTACACCTCCAACTCCACTAAACTGGAAGCCATTTGATATTGTTGTTGAAGACTTGCTGCTGTGTACAGGAGCTGCCTGGAGTTTTACTGGAAACATCAGTGCTCTCTGTGAGCCCGTATTCTTCTCTTCTCTACCATGTAATGACATAATTAGAGTATAAATACCTAAAGATGTGTCTACTTCCCTGCATATACTGATTCTACCTTTTTAATGGGAGGTAGAGAAGACTAGAATCATTATGCAAACCGGCACCCAACATATCCTCTAATCAGTCGTGGTTTTAAAGTAATTAATTACCAAGGTAAATACACAACACAAGTCCCATTCAAGGACAGCGCTGGGCACATCCATTGTGTCTTTTTGTAACCAGCTTTACAAATGCGCAGTATACTGCTCGGCTCAAATTATCAATTTCATGTTGTGAACAAGTTACTTCAATTTAAACGGCATATTTTATGTTAGCGCACAGCAGTGAACTTGCACGCAAACTCAGGATGAGTTATAACTGTTACCACTGCTTTCGAGTAATGAAACATTTACTACTAGTTTATGACCTCAAAAAATCTGCGTTAAACACTCAGGTGTGCTTAAAAGTTTGTAAAAGTCTAGCAGAGGCAATTAGACAGAATCACAGGGTGATATATTTCATTATTCAAAATATAGCTTTATTTTTAAAAAATGTTATATGGCTGTATGAAGCTTTGGGTATACGTGAGACTGATTTCGACAATATATATTTTGACAGATATTCTTCCACTACACTTCAGTTTTCTCTACTGCTATTGCTGTTTCTAATGTCCTGTCCTTCCACTTACAAATTAAAACAGCATACAAGTTAATATTAAACAAGGAAAGGGGGCGGGTTGAGAGAAAGTTCTTTTGAAATCCTAATGATTTATTCTTGTCCTACTTCTGTATGACTAACCGAAATCTGAGCGAACGAAAATGTGATACGGTTTTCCCCCCTGCAGCACACAATTGTAAATGATTAGATTCAGCAATGATTTTAGAAAGCAATCGAAAGAAAGAAATCGAGTTAAAATATTGCAAAAGACAGGAGAGTGTTACCCAGATCCGATCACGGGGCAGTAAGGAAACGACGTAAATAGAGATGAGGAGGACGGGACACGCGTGTTTGCTGGGGATGAAACGAGGAAGTGCAGGGGAGACAATAAGACAGCAATGACTAACACCAACAGGTTTTACGAGGACAGGGATTTTAACACTATCTCTGCTGGATCTGTCCACATGTTTTCGAGGAAATTAGATAATTTCAGAAACCAGAACATGCGACTCTTCTTTGTGGGAAAAACTCGGTCACTTTCCTGCCCGCTGCGCTTGAAAACTAGCTCCTTGGTTATGCTGATGGCCGTCCTATTGCTACATGGAAAACGTAAGACAGATAAAGAGGATGTCCACTGACTGTCTCCCAAAGGGATTGCAAGTCTCTCTCCAAAAAGCGGAATCTGGAGAAAATATCCAGCTCTTCTAACAAGGGGCAGAAGCTGCCAGTTACAGCTGCCTCCTAAAAGACGGTTTTGTTCCCGCAGGTAGGAAGCGATAAGAGACTCTCTTCCAACACTTCATTATCCAGAAGGGTATCGGTCGCACAGAAACCAGCCTCGGGCTCCGCTCAGGGCTGATCCGCGCAGAAGCGCCCCGCCTAGACAACAGCAACAGGTCGCAGCCCGCGGACACCGAGCGGGATTTGCGGCGCCTGTCCATGGCCGCATGATCGTTGTTCCTCCCGTCCACGGTGCCCTGTGGGCCGGGCAGGAGAGCACGGCAAGGCCGGGATTTTCCACCCCCAAACGCACCCCGAAGGGTTCACTGCTAGACCCTGAAGCGCGGAGCTCGGCCGCACCCGGGATGCGGGAGAACCAGCGCAAGCGCGGCAGGCAGCGGGTCTGCTCTGGCGGTGCCGTAAAGGCCAGCTCCAGAAGTCTGGCTGTGCCGTGGCGGGGTCAGGGGCCGAGACCCGCCGGCATGGGCAGGTCTCTCCTGGTTCCCTGCTCTGGGGCCGGCGCCGAGGCGGAGCGGCGCAGGGCCGGAGGACTGCACAGCTCCCGGGGACACTCCCGCGCCCGCCATCCAGGCCCGAGTGCTTGCGCGTGGCATCCCTAGCCCGGGCAGCAAACGCGGCTCGGCCCCCGGGGCCGCGGCCGGGTCCCTCGGTGCGCTGGCGCGGACGAGCGCGGCGAAGCGGGGCGAGCTCCGGA